GAATGTTTCAAAGTGATCTTGACGCAGCCCAAGGAGGAGAGTGGAACTGCCACAATTTATTGTCTACACTAAGGAATATATTTATTGCTTTCTACTAGAAAACTATTAACCTACAAGTTCATTCTCCCAACTGGGAGACCTAAAGTTAGAGGAGAGCAAGCCAACAAAATATACTTGCCTTAATCCACACTTTAAAATTAGTGACTTAAGTAGGGGGAATTGCAAAATCAATGGAAAATCAACACCCCTCTTGAGGTCAGAATTCTTGGGATCTAGTCCCAGCTCTGCACTAGCTGTGTGATCTTGGGCAAGTCACCTAGCCTGTCTGAGTACCTGTAAAATGGTGCTAAGCCCTGGCCTCCCTACCACATAAGGCCGCTCTCAGGAGGATCAGATACCACACGGATGGAGAAGTCTAAGGCGCATTGCTCACCCATATATTTGGTCAATGTCTCAAATGATAAGGATCACCTTAACCTTGAATGTTAAGGTTCACCTTAACAAGGAGACAAGCTTAAAGAAAGACACACTAGTTCAACACTTCTTAGATCTTTTCCCTAAATATCAGTAGTATTCATGAAATCAACAAATATTGCAGTAAGTGAAACATATATCATCAAAAAAAAATAAAAACAAAAAGGAGAAATCTTGGAACATTGTGTGCATACATACGTTATGGTTAAATACCAACGCAGAAAGAAGAACACTATTCAAATTCATGAATTTATGCTTTAACTTCCAAAGCTAAATATTAGCTTGACTGAGTAGTATTGTGTGCCTTGATCTCAGGTATTAGCATATAAAAGAGCCGATGGCCCTTAGCTCCCTGCCATCCCAAAGGTACAACTTGTATGTTTAAATACGGGGAACATTTATTAGTGGTCATGAACACTCTGTAATCAAGAAACAACCAGTTACTTAAACAATGTGCTTAACTGTTAGAAATAGAATCAGAAGAAAAACTCATCAACGTCCAAAACATCCTACCCTACTGGGACATTAGCTAGACTCAAGTCAGAACACACACACTCCATAAATACATATCAAATAACAAGAATGGTATTCCAGTTCTCATAAACAACATTTGGAAGTCAATTTAATATTTATATAGTGTTTGGAGAAAGCCTTGCCAAAATCTTAAGCCCTTGATAAAGGACAAGGGGCAAATGTAAAGTTTCAGTGTAAACTGGGACGTCAAAGGTAGTTTGTATTTTCCATTAAAAAATACGACAATTGGCCGGGCGTGGTGGCTCACACCTGTAATCCCAGAACTTTGGGAGGCCGAGGCAGGTGGATTGCTTGAGCTCAGGAACTCAAGACCAGCCTGGACAACACAGCAAAACCCTACAGTCTCTACAAGAAAATACAAAAATTAGCCGGGTATAGTGGCATATGCCTGTGGTCCCAGCTACTCAGGAGGCTGAGGTAGGAGGATCACTTGAGCCCAGGAGGCAGAGGTTGCAGTGAGATGAGATCATGCCACTGCACTCCGGACTGGGTGACAGAGACCGACCCTGTCTCAAACAAAACAAAACAAAACAAAACAAAACGAAAAGACAATTGCTTAGATCTTGTCTTTTAAGAGACTGACTTTTGGGAAGTACCTCCTTGAAAATCTAGTGGAAGCCTTTGTCACATAGACCTTTGCCTATCAACATTCAGACACAGTCTAAGTTACATCAGCATGACTATAAACAGCAGCTTTTTATGTCTAGAGCAGGGTAGGCATTTCCCTGACTGATTTCCCTGACACCAGAGCCATAAAGAGGTGCTAGTAGTCCCCAGAAGCCTCTGCCAAAAGAAACCTTGATGACACTGCATCTTTATTTCCAGCTGTGACTATTCCTTTGAGCTCTGGCTCTAGAAGCATATCCAGTGACTTCCTAGATATTTCACCAGCACCTTATGCTCAGGTTCAAAACTAAAGTTACCAAATTGCTCCTGGTCCCGGTGCTCCTCATCTCAGTGAGTGGAATCAGTTGTATAAAACAAAAACTTGTAGGATCTTTGCTAACAGCTCCCTCTCCTTCACTCTGCCTCCAAACAATCCAGTCCAGCAAATCCTGATGAGTACACCTCTAAATCAGGTGTACTCATGGTTGAGCATCCCTGACTCAAAAATGGAAAATCCAAAATCTGAAATGCTCCAAAATCTGAAACTTTTTAAATTTTATTTTTATTATTTATTTATTTATTTATTTAGAGACGATTTTCACTCTTATTGCCCAGGCTGGAGTGCAGTGGTGCAATCTTGGCTCACCACTACCTCCACCTCCCAGGTTCAAGCAATTCTCCTGCCTCAGCATCCTGAGTAGCTGGGATTACAGGCACACGCCGGGCTTGGTAGAGACGGGGTTTTTCCATGTTGGTCAGGCTGGTCTCGAACTCCTGACCTCAGGTGATCCACCTGCCTCGGCCTCCCAAAGTGCTTGGATTACAGGCGTGAGCCACCGCACCTGGACAAAATCTGAAACTTTTTAAGTGTAAATATGACATTCAAAAAATGCTCACTGGAACATTTTTGGACTTCAGATTTTCAGATTAAGGATGCTCACTCAGTAAGCATAATGCAAATACATGTATTCCAAAATCTGAAATCTGATACACTTTTGGTCCCAAGGATTTTGAATAAAGGATATCAACCTGCATAGGGAATCACTTTCTTAAAATCCTGCCATGGCTCTCTACTGTTGCCACCCTCACCTGGTCACCTCCTGCTTCAGAAAATGCTAGGCGTTATTGCTCCTCCATCATTTTGTTAATATGTGTGTCTCCCTCTGCCTTCTCCTTCCAGAGTTATTAATCTCATAATTCAAAACCCAATCTAAATCCTCCTCTTTGGGGAAGATGGGCTGAGGCCCTAACCCACTTCTCTTTGAAGTCCAGTGTCTGGGTTTCTTATTCACATATTATAGCTCAAAGCAAATAATGGGATATAATAATTTGTTTGCACGTTTCTCAGCTCCACTTGCCTGTGGACTCCCTAAAAGCTTGCATCTTTATTCTCAGTTGCTTTGCCCTATATCTTAGCTCAAAACGTGCCTCTAACAGAACTTTTGAATATGTGTTGAATGAAATGTTGAGACTAAAACCGGGAGAGTTAAACTACACTTTTATCACAAATGTTCATTTTACTATCAACAACCAAATGCTCTCCCCACAATCCTAATTACTTTATAAACCCTATCAGCTTTCAGTTAAGAGTAGGAGGATTTGTAGTGTAATTCTTATCACCCAAGAAACTGGGTATCTGTGAAGTACTTTGCAAAGAAATCTCCACATAAAGGCCAGCCATTGGAAAGCCACTTCCCACTGGCTCCTGACTTGCTGGGGAAAAAAAAGGAGGAACATCCCTCAGCCTGTTCTTTGCTGATGGAAGAAAGGTCCAGTTCCCGCCCCCACATCCTCCCTCCATCACTCCCAACTCTCCCAAGGAAGTGCTAGGATAATCTCAGAGACAGATGTCTAAGTAAGTACTGACAGACTGGAGGGCATCTACTGGCTACATTTGCCTGAATACTTTCAAAGTCATGAGTCCAATGCTTTCTGCCCGTTCTCTTGAGTTTGGTGGAAAGGATTCTCTTTTGCTGCCTGAGTGTCTTAACCCCTCAATACTCTCTTTTCTAGAACAGGCAGAGAAATAAGCACAACAAATCTACGTTAGATACAAACTGAGCTTACTGAAAGAACTAAGGTTAGAGAAAAGCACAGCCAATCAGTAGGGATATCTCAAAAAAACTAGGACGCCTGATTCTGTTCCTGGATCTCCTTTGGAGCATGACTTTGCCACCTGCCTTTCCTGGCATATTGTGTGGTGTATGGCATGCATAATACATAATCCAGTGTAGATTAATTTACATTCTTGATTTTATCCGTTGGAAAGTTATGTTCCCTTAAGATGGATGAGTAACTGATAAAATATTGTCTTATGAGTTGTAATTTTTGCAGGAAATTTTGAATGAAAATACAGGGTCTTGCTCTGTTGCTCAGGCTGGGGTGCCATGGTTCATTCGTGACTCACTGCAACCTAGAACTCCCAGGCTCAAGTGATTCCTCCCACCTCAGTCTCCTGACTAGCTGGGCACCACACGCCCGGCTAATTTTTGTTTTTTGCTTTTTGTTTTTTTAAATTTTTGTAGAGAACAGGTCTCGCTAAGTCTGCCCAAGCAGGTCTCAAACTCAGCCTTACGAGTAGCTGAGACTAAGGTGCATGCCACCGGACCCACGCTCACCTCCATTATAGGTCTTCAGATACGTGGCTGCTACCACTTTCACGCTAATCTGACTCCATTTTGTAAAAATACATTTTCTAAGGTAGCCACAACTTCTGTGTTCTCCGTCTAAGTGTGCCCAAATACACATCCTGACATAAACTCCTCATCATTTGAAATCCAAAAAAGCGAAAAACAAACCCAAATAACAAAAACCTCAAGGAGATCCTCCGAAAAGCCACTGCTGCCCTCAAAATTCTGAAGTCTGAGATTTCACGTGCACAAACTGCTCAATCTGCTAAAAGTGAGGCAAACCTCTTGATATGCGCGCCCACCGCAGCACACCGTCCTCGACCATGGTAATGGAGACGCGCCCAGCCCTACCGGACAGAGCCTGGCGTTCTCACTCAAACGCGCGCTCAGGCCGGCCTATTCGCAACACCCCAAGCTTTCCTTTCATCCCAACTCTGCTTCAATTTCTCGAAATGTCCAAAGAAAACTCAACGGGTGCCTCCTATGGTGCACCTGCGCTGGTGCCCAATGTGGGAGGAGGTTCAGAATGTGCAGATCTTCCTCGTGCAACCCCCAGCTACCCACTGCCACCTCTCCCCCTCCCCCTCATCCCAACCAACCTTCCCAGGATGACCAGGAAAACGAGGGTCCTGGAGGAAATGTCTCTGATGGAGTAGCTTGAGCTCCTCAGCCACCGAGGGACAAAGGGGCTGGCTCCCCGCCGCCACCCCAAGTCATGTTACTTTGGAGTAGCCGTCATTAACGGACTTCACTCACCCTTGTGGAAGTCTTCACTGCTGAAGGCTGTAGGAACTTGGGGTGACTTGAAGCTCCTCCCTGTGGTCTCCGGTGAGAGACCGGGAACCGGGTGGGCTCCCGGAAAGTCTGCAAATGAGGAGCAGCTTCTAACTGACTCCTCCCGCAGTGAACTCCCCAGGGAAGTGCGTGGGCCCCAGAGTGCAAAGCGCGTGGTGGGGGCGTGGCGGGGGGGGGGGCAGGCACGGAGGCAGCGTGGCTGCGGAAGTGGGGGGAGGAGTGGTAGCATTTCTCCCCAGACCTCGCGATGTTGGAGTGCGAGATCCCTACTGCCTCTGAAACTGGGGGTGCAGATAAACCACTTCAACGTAGCCCTTACCTTGTCGAGTCAAAAGGTTCCACCCCAATCTGGGCTCTCCACCCTCCCTGGACCCTGGAGCACTACCTGAGCAGCACCTAATGGAGCCCAGAAAATGTATGGATCACAGAAAAGAGGGGTCTTTTTGAGTCCAATCACGGCTCTATTGTGGAACAAAGAAGGTAGGACCCCATCCTGATCTAAAGGGTCTTTGTAGCCTCACAGAGCAAAATGCGACCCTTGTTGAATATCAAGTCCAGCTTAGCAGGGCATCAGTGGGTGTCTGGAACCCCAGAGGTCAGAGGGAGGGCAACAACTGCACAGTGTACCCCTTGACCTGCTGCCTCATTTAGTATGGTTGTCTCAATCACAAGGCCAGCCTTGTTTTCACACCTCCCAATCCGCCCTCCTCTCTGGACTTTTCCAGGAGACACACCCACTGAGCTTTGCAGGGTTGCCCTATATTATACCATTTGATTTCTCCAGTCTGTTTCTAAACACTCACGGGGAAGATGATCTCACAACCTCCCTCACCACTCATTCCAGAGTTGAATAAATCCTCAATGAGGAATAGATTTAACACTACATGTTATTTTCTTAAACTGACCAATTTTGAGACAAGTTAAAAAGACATTCAAAGAGTTAAAAGATCAAAACTAACTTTATTTGTTTACTTATTTATTTATTTTTGAGACAGAGTCTCGCTCTGTTGCCCAGACTGGAGCGCAGTGGCATGATCTCGGCTCACTGCAACCTCCACCTCCCGGATTCATGCCATTCTCCTCCCTCAGCCTTCCAAGTAGCTGGGACTACAGGTGCCCGCCACCACGCCCGGCTAATTTCTTTTTGTATTTTTAGTAGAGACGGGGTTTCACCGTGTTAGCCAGGATGGTCTCAATCTCCTGACCTCGTGATCCGCCCACCTCAGCTTGCCAAAGTGCTGGGATTACAGGCATGAGCCACTGCGCCCGGCCCAAAAATCAACTTTAATTCTGCTGTATCACTAAGCACAGGAAGAACAAAGTACATATTAATTTAACATCATTACTATTAAATTTTATTCATAATAGTGATAACCCCTGCCCCTCTGACAAGGAGGATATGTCACAGAAAGGGCCCTAGAGCGTTCAGCCTCCTACTCAATCCTTGTAATGTCAAAAGTTGACCACTCTGAAGGTGGTCTTTGGATGTATTATTTTCTCCACATCAAAACTGAAGATCAAGGCACTTCAGAAACAAGCTCCTAAACCCAGTTTCAGAAGGGACTCATTTTAAAACAGCATGGGTCTTCCTGATGGCATTTTAAATAAAACATTCTGACTCGCAGCTGTGTCTGCAACCTTCAGTCTCTACAAACAAACTCTAATTATTAAGTGTAAAAGCTTCAGTATGACGTAACATCTGAAATAACCAGGAAATGATAGAGCAAAAAAGTTGTTTAGCGAGGCAGGCATTTATGTAACACTTCTAGGAACCTAAATCACAATCTCCTTCCAGGGGCAGAGAAATCAGGTCTCTTCTTCCCCAACACACGTGCAATTCTTGTCCTTAAGCAAATCACTTCCCTTCTTTAAGTGCCATATTACATGCAAAGGGGTGATAACAACATGTATGAATGTAATACTTGTCATTTGTAGAGTATATTGTCTGCATAAATTAACTTTAATTGTAAATTTCGTAGTGAGTTGTCAGAAACGACGTTCAAAAAGGATTTTTACATGCTTTTCTCCTGATAAAATCTCAACCAAGCTTCCTCAGAAAGGAGGCACGACTTCCGCCACAAAAGCAGAGAGATTAGCGGCAGCAAAGAACGGGAAGAGTTTGGGCTTAACTATAAATCCTGACCAGTCTTAGAGAACGTAATTAATATCTCTGAAGTCATGGTGTCCTTCTCCTGACAATGGGCCCAGTAATAAATAGTACTTGCCTCACAAAATTGGGATGCTTCAATGGGATGATGCATGCAAAGCACTTAGCAAAGGGCCTGGCAGGAAGGTGGTCGTGGTCAATGAGGCTGTAATTACCACCGGGAACCACAATAGAATACTCACCAAAAGCAGGAAGGGCTTCTAGATGTCCATCCCACCTGAACATGGGATGCAGGATTTGGGGAACTTTGGCCTGAGACTCTAGTGGTCTTTCTTGGAAGTATCATCTTACCTCTGCTCTTTCTCGCAGGGGGACTGGTCGATATCAAAGACTAGGCACTTGTCTGCAAAGAAAAGACAGTTGTGAGTAGCCTGTACAGCAAGTCCCAAAATTTCATAGAAATCTCTGGAGGAATTCCTTGGAAGACATAAAGGCAAGTGAGGTAAGGTTTTATTTCTATGTGGTCATCAAACTGTCATTTGTTTGGTTCATCCTCAGAGGAGATAAGTATCTCATTTTCACATCTCTTGAGGCAAAACAGAGCAAACTTGTATAAAATCAACATGAAGTCATCTTGGCTTGTAAGAATACTCACACTTTTGTTCATCTCCAGTTTATTTGAATGCAATTTTGTGGAGCCTTGGTAATATTTCCATTACGTCTGAAATACACTGATCAATGTGTGATTTGAGTTTTCCTCAATAGTCCTCCATTTTTCTGGGGGAGGGGGACATATGATGTTAATACATAGTGGTGTACCTTAAAGACATCTGCTCTATTTTACTTGTGGAAAAATTTAATGATAAATACATAAAAGGAATTTAAGTAGTGCTATTTTAATTCATTTGGAATTTTTTTAAAAATCAATTAATTCTAGAAGAATCCTCATTTTATGTCTATACAGTTTATCAAACATACAGTGGGTGACTTCTATTTCACTACCTACTATAGTCTTCATAATTCCAGGAGTACAAACCAGATATAAGATCCATTTCTAGATGCCAAGTCTCTCCTATATAGCATGATTATTGCTCTCTGGCAAAAATCTCAAAAACAGTCAGGCTTTCTGGTGCTAAAAATGTTCTTTAGGCACAAGAAATGCCATATGAACTGTCCTCTCCTCCATCACTGGCACTGCTTTAGTTCAAATCGCCATTAAGTCTAGTCTGCACTCCTGACTGGAGTTCTTGCTGCCTCCACTCTCGACCCCTGCAAATTGTTCTCCGCCTAGTAGCCATTGTGACCTCTAAAATGAAGTTCATGTCATATCACTTCCATAATGGGAATACTGTCAGCTCCCCTACCGCCACCACCACCATTTTTGCTTGTGGAGAAAGGCCTAATGCCAGCCTCACCTCCTCTAATACCCCTCCCAATTATAATGATAGTTTTTCTCTCCTCACTCCGCAACAGGTGAATATACATAACTTTGCTAGAGTTTTTTATTGTTTTGATTTTTATTTCTTAAATATTATCATTAGGGTTGAACATCTTTTTATAGAGTAATATCATGTATTTCATTAATTTTTTCTTGGTGAATTGCCAATTAATTTCCATTTTTTTCTTTTACTTTAAGCTCTGGGATACATGTGCAGAACGCACAGGTTTGTTACATAGGTATACATGTGCCATGGTGGTTTGCTGCGCCTATCAACCCGTCATCTAGGTTTTAGCCCCGCATGCATTAGGTATTTGTCCTAATGCTCTCCCTCTCCTTGCCTCCCAACCCCCAGCAGGCCCCGGTGTGTGATGTCTTTCACCTTGTGTACATGTGTTCTCGTTGGTCAACTCCCACTCATGAGTGAGAACATGTAGTGGCTCTTTTTTTGTTGTGTCTCTGCTAGGTTTTGGTATCAGGATGATGCTGGCCTCGTCAAACGAATTAGGGAGGAGTCCCTCTTTTTCTATTGCTTGGAATAGTCTCAGAATGAATGGTACCAGCTCCTCTTTCTACCTCTGGTAGAATTCGGCTGTGAATCCATCTGGTCCTGGGCTTCTTTTGGTTGGTAGGCTATTAATTACTGCCTCAATTATAGAACTTGTCATTGGTCTATTCAGGGATTTGATTTCTTCCTGGTTTAATCTTGGGAGGGTGTATGTGTCCAGGAATTTATCCATTTCTCCTAAATTTTCTAGTTTATTTGCATATAAAAGTTTATAGTATTCTCTGATGGTAGTTTGTATTTCTGTGGTATCAGTGGTGATACCCCCTTTATCATTTTTTATTGTGTCTATTTGATTCTTCTCTCTTCTTTATTCGTCTGGCTAGCGGTCTATCTATTTTGTTAATCTTTTCAAAAAATCAGCTTCTGGATTCATTGATTTTTTTGAAGGGTTTTTCATGTCTTTATCTCCTTCAGTTCTGCTGTGATCTTAGTTATTTCTTGCCTTCTGCTAGCTTTTGAATTTGTTTGCTCTTCTCTAGTTCTTTTAATTGTGATGTTAGGGTGTTGATTTCAGATCTTTCCAGCTTTCTGATGCCGGCATTTAGTGCTTTAAGTTTCCCTCTTAACATTGCTTTGGCTGTATCCCAGAGATTCTGATACGTTGTCTCTTTGTTCTTGTTGGTTTCAAGAACTTCTTTATTTCCGAGTTAATTTCGTTATTTACCCAGGAGTCATTCAGGAGCAGGTTGTTCAATTTCCATGTAGTTGTGCAGTTTTGAGTGAGTTTCTTGATCCCGAGTTCTAATTTCATTGCACTGCTGTCTGAGAGACTGTTTGTTATGATTTCCTTTCTTTGGCATGTGCTGAGGAGTGCTTTACTTCCAATTATATGGTTTATTTTAGAATAAGTGCTATGTGAGACTGAGAAGAATGTATTTTCTGTTGATTTGGGGTGGAGAGTTCTGTAGATGTCTGTTAGGTCCACTTGGTCCAGAGCTGAGTTCAAGTCCTGAATATCCTTGTTAATTTTCTGTCTCATTGATCTGTCTAATATTGACAGTGGGGTGTTAAAG